TGTCCTAAATTTTCAATGAGATTTTATCTTTATAATTAGCAGAAAAAAATTATTTTTTAAAATAAAAAGACCAACTCAATTTTAAGTATAGTGTATGACTGATACAAATCCAATCATCTCCTGGATGACCAGTTTCTTCAAGACAAGTTAAAAGACTTAAGGAGTCAGATTAAAATGTTTACTATTTGAGGTATCAGAAGTCTATTATGGGAAACTGACCCTAGAGAAAAGACAGCATAACCCATGGCTTTGATGAATCCATGGTACAGCAATTATGGCATCAAGACGTGGGTCCAACAGCTGTCCTGCCTCTTGGTTATATTCATCACATAAGTGGGTACAAAGATAACCTATCCACAGTAAGCAGGCTCGCCTAGTTCTAACAGAGTGGAATTTCATTTAAAATACTGAAATCTATCGCTAAAGATAGGTATCTGGAAAAAAAATCTAACAGGAGTAGTAATTTCACTTTATCCATGCCCAGAAAGAGGCAGAAATAATGTTACACACAGCAAATTAACTTTTTGATCTAGAAAACAAATTCTGCAAGCAGTGAGTCAATATACAGTTTCTTCGCAAGTTTCCTTCTATGGTGTAACATCCTTCAAATTGGGAAACAAAAGCAACTACTGCCATATTTGAAGATAAAAACATCCCTTTTTGCCTCAATCTAAAAGATGTCATAATTGAGATAAAAAGTTTGAAATAGAGTAAACAATATGAATGCAAAACGCTGTGGGGGATTAAGATTCCTGTTAGTATGGAAATATTCCTTTCACCAGGTATTCTCATTTTGAAAAAAATTCTGACTTTCCCAGACTGTTATATCTTAAATTTTGGAAAAGTCTGAAAGAGCCAAATCTATGAGCTTGACTAGGCTCCATACTGCCCTCACTTGGGAACCGTAAGCCCCTGGCGGCCCCTTTTTCCCTTTTTTGGATAAACAAAAAAGTAGAACTACTGGTTTCTGGCTTGATGTTTTCTTCTATTCTCAAAATTTTTAAAAAATAATTTGTTTTTACTTCTTAAAAAATCTAGATTCATCATATATGTTTGTTTATTTTGAACATACTTTTCACAAAAGGATAGTTCACCCTAATTTTTTTACAACTGTCTTCTACTTTTCATTTGGGAAAAAAAGCTGGAAAGAAGGAAAACAAAGAAATCTTATACATTTTTATTCTGTTTCCCATTTTTTAAAGTACAGAATAATTAAAGATACACCCATTGTTTCTTTTTAGTAGTAATATGAGACAAAATGTTAGGAAAGATGTTATCAACTAATCATATAAGCACTCATTACCAACCCATGATACATTATATATTTCTTTGCCTTTTACTTTCACTTATATTTACTCTCATAAATTCCTCAGAATTGATTTACAAGTTTCTAAAAGACTTTTTTACTTGAATGTTCTATATGTCAGCCTAACTTGAGGTTAACCTCAATGGGCAGATGCTGTAACAGGCAGGGTTGACTTCCCCAGAAGAAGGGGTCGAAGCTGTAAGCTACTTCTTTCCCTGAAAGACCAATGCTCACACATGCACTGCATCTCTCCAAGGACCTGGGATTTCATATTCAATGTTGGCAGTTCAAGAAATCAACTTAAAGGATCATTTTAGAACACTAAAAACAAGATCCACTTCCTAGTGTTAAGTTAGACTGCTGAGCTTCTTTATACTTTAAATGTGCGATTAAAACAAATCAAAACCAAAATTAAAAGCCCAATCATAAAAGCACACCGCAGTTTCAGGACTTTTAACACAGCAGAGTGCAAAGTCACAGTCAGGAGAGGGGCCAGGTTTCCTTCAACCTAGAAAAATCCAAAAAGTTCTACCAAAAAATCAAAAGAAGATCCCATTTGACTTTTTTCCATCAAACTTCTCAGTCCACAAGTATGTCTCACATTAAGTCATCACATTTCAAAATGTGTAATATGCTTTATGTAAATGTTACTTATGCAGGCCAATAATGCTTTGCATGGGTAGATCACTATGCCACTTAGAAAGCAGTGTCATTTTCATACCCGATTTGATCTTCACAAAAGTAAGGCATATGGCTATTACTTACAAGGTACAAATGGCAACAATAGAGACTCAGAAGTGAAATCACTTGCTCAACATCATTAAACATCCTGACTCCCAATCCAATGCTCTTTCTACATTTCATCATGCTGGCAAGAGAAACCAGAAGTAAGGTTTTAGGATAGTGATTTATGTACAAACACTGAAGAAACATCAGATTTCTGACTTCCTGTGATGAGAGAGGAAAACCTCCAACTCAGCTTACTCATTTTCTAATACTTTCTTCAGAAAACCCTACAGACCCTTAAATAGATTTCCAAACATTAAATGCCCTTTAAAAAAAAAAAAAAAGCCCTAAATTTAGCAATAAGTTGCAATCCTCCTCACATTATAGAGCTAAATCTCATGTTAGAACTCAAATTGAGAGTTTTTTTCAAGTTTAGCTGGTGCAATACATTAGACATGACCTTTGAAACCGATCCATATATTTTAACAGTTTTAATTTAGTCAAAACTGCAGAAATGCCAGGAAGAAAAGTCTTGAAAATGTAAGTTATCACTTACAATACAGCAACTTCCTCAACTTAACCACACACAAACACAAAAATATTCAGCCTCTAGTAGTTCTGCATTGTTAGATGAGTCTGCATTTTCTGTTTTAAAATACTCTGGGCTTAATAGGCCCTGACTGTGTCCATATTCTTTACGTGTCAGAAACTATTAATTCTATGATCTTAGCAGTTCACACCTAATTTTTAAAAATCTTTATTTAACTTGGATAAGAATACAATTACACAACCTGGATAACAACACTGCGGAACCCAGTTAGTAAATCAGATTAAGCAATGATGAATGTTTTTTATGCCCTGTAAATGGACCGAAGTATCTAATCAGATATTGAGCTGACACAGTACACAAAATACACAAAATTAAAGGGAGGAAAATACTGAAAAGAAATTGAAATGTGAGGAGAGAAGCAAAGCTCCAAAGAAGACAAGCTAAGAAAACAAAGTCTGAATACTACAGTTTGAAAAACAAAAAGCTTCAGAATGGATATTTTATTAAGAGTTAATGGACACTTGGAGTAGAGGTAACCCCAATTTTCCAAGACTGATAACTGCAAAAATACACAGAATAGTCCTATCGAAGAACCATGTGGCTCGCTCTTTATGACAGAAAAAAAATGTGGGCTAAATAATATGCTACTTACCCATTCATATCCAACATACTCGTAACAGAAAACAAGACAAAGACAAACACAATCCAAAATATCAGACACATAAAACACAGTATTCCAAGTAATTCAATGAAAAAAAGCTTAAAATGCCCCATTTTATAATAATTGCTTAACTTCTTTATTTCCACTGGTAAATCCTTACAATTAATTTAAAAAATTCTGCTATATCCAGATCTTTTAAGATTAATATGCCCATCTTTTGTCACCTGATGGAGTTACAGGAATAATCAAGATTGCAGCACCTTAACGGAAGAAAGGCTAAGCACTTTTGTCTTTGATTTTACTGTACAAAGTGAAAACAGATCAAAATAAGAGGAGATGGATAAATGCTAAGAATTATTGTCATATCTGGGCTTTCTTCCTTTCCAGTCCAAGTAATGCATTTCTTGTCCCTTCTCGACAAATAACTACACATATTTCTTATTCATATAGTCTGTCATTGCAGTAACAGGGGTTCTGCCTGTGTTTTTTGTTGTTGTTATTTGCTTTTTAAAATAACATTTAAAGAATCTACATAACTGGAATTGCTGCACCTGTATCTTTTTTAAAAAAATTTTTCTACAGAAAATTTGGAAAATACCAGAAACCATAATGAAAAAACTATTTGTATTTACACCACTTGATCACTTTTATAACTATGACTATCCTTTGAGTCTTATTCTGATAGATATACAATCGCTTCTAGTTCTATAGTTTAGTTTACAAAATCAGAATTACACTATTTCCTAACCTGTTTTCATTTAAAAATTAGTATTTCCCACACCAATATTATTTGAGAATGATTTTTAGTGGCTTCCTTCACTAGAATCCCATCCTTAGGGTAAAGGGTTAAATATTATGCATTAAAATAAGACCCTCAATTTCTCCCATTCTTTCCCCTTTATGATCAGAGCGGAGGAAAGAATAGTAAACCAGCCACAGTAGCGTCCAAGGTGTGAAAAACGTCCCCCTGAGAAATGTGGGGCCTAAGAAGATTCAAACCCTAAGCCAAAGATATAATGCGCTAACAGCGACGTTTCAAGTACTGTCCAGTGGATGTGACCTTACTGGAGAAGGCAAATCTCCTAAATTCGCAGTACTAAAGTAGTTACCTCTTCGAGCTAAAAGCTAGCTGCATTCCGTTTTCTAATAACACTGGAGTGAAGCAGTGCAAATTTCACCCACTCAACCAAGTATCTTAATTGGCTGAGTTCGTTAAAACTGGCGCTCCCAATAGCAAAGAGTTGGATTCATTAGACAAAAATAAACATGTAACGTGTATAAGGCACTGTGTGCACAGCTGCTACGCAGGACTTATCGATTAGGAAGACCGACGCTAAAAGGGACCGGTGAGGGGAGAAAGGATAGGGAGGAGAATTGCATCATTATTAGGCTGGCGTACGAGGAGAAATCTCAGCTCCATTATTTAATCTTTCTATTCCTGGCATCACGGGGCTTCAACGTCACCAAAAAAGACGGGCCGGCTGAAACCCCGGCAGAGTGACGCACATAACATCTTACCATATGGATTCTCATCAATCAGAACCGAGAAGCGCCCCAAGCCAGCCCGGTGAAGGAAGGCGGGTCCGTCCCCCGGGCCGTCAGAACCCCGACACCCCCAGATCACCGCTCCGGTCTGCACGCGTGGGTCGGAAGCTTCAGGATCGCCCAACCAGACTCCTCAGGGTCCGGCTCGGGCCGCCGGGGCTGCAGACTCGCGTTCCGGGGAGGCCACCCGTGCGGCCGCAATCGCAGGCGCCAGGGGTCAAGCCCCGGCCCGAGCAGCCCCCGCCTCAGAGGAGATCCTGCGACTGCCTCCGCCAGGCGGCTGAGTCGCGGATACCGGCCAGGGCCCCGACAGTCGGCCACGACTCCTCTCCCGGGTTCCAGGTTCGTCCGGGGCCGTACCTGCAGGGGCAGCGCCACCTCCGCCCGACTGTGCCGGCTGTCGCGGTGGCGGCGGTCACAGCTCCAGGCTCGGTGACGCCTCTCATAAAAACAACAACCTGCTCGCGGGCGTCCGCAGCCGGGAGGCGGCGGCCGGCGGGGCGCCGCAGCGCATGCCGGAACTCGTAGTCCAGTACGCGCCTCATGTCCGCCGGCGGCTGAGGGAAGAACTACGACTCCCGAAGAGGAGCGCAGCCCGCCGCGGGGAGGCTGCAGGAAGCCGGGCCTGGCGGCCGCGATCCTCACAACATCCGGGCTCCGGCGCTGAAGAGGCGCCGCGGATGGTTGCTATGGAGACGGGCTGCTACAACCACTCGAAAGCTTCGCGGTTTCACCCTGAAGGACTACTCCCTGAATTAGGCGGATTAGTTTATACACCCTGATCCAGCTGACGGTTCGCCTTCTCTTTGTTGCTTTGATTGAGTGTAGTAAAGAGGCCGGGCGTCTCCCGGGCGCTCGCTGGCTTTCTTGCCATCCGCTAAAGGAAAAGACTGCGGTTGCCGAAAAAATAAAGAAGATATCGAGAATGACCGAGTACGACGGGGTGGGTTTGGACAGAGGGCTGGATGTTTTTGACCGTGGGCACTCTTTGCTATAAATTTGGGGTCACCCCGCACTCCCACCTACCCCACCCCCAAAAAACACCTTTCTAGGCAACCACTGGGCTAAAGCATGTAAATATGCCTTGCATTAAGCCAGAATTGCCTCTGAAGGTATAAAAATGATTAGGGATGGTATGCAACTTGTACCCCTTTGCAAACTGTGCAGTGATAGCTTTGAACAAGAAAAACGTACCTTGTTAATTTTAGATTTTTTTTTACATTATGCCTTGTTCAAAAAAGGATATGAGCCCCCCAAAAAGAATATATTGCATGTATACTCACTTTTGCTGGAAACAGTGGAAAGTTAAGATTTAATTCTCTGTCCTCTAATTACGGCAGAAAAAGACAACATTAACAAGGACGACGGTGGGCCTGAGCCGAAACAAAACGGTGCCTCAAAATTAGACTCGTAGGTTGTTTTTGCTTTTGGTGTTCCTATAGTTAACATCAACTGTGGCACAACACCTACAAAGAAAAAACGATTCTTAATTTTATAATTACAGCTTCCGCAATGGGCATTTTTATTATTTCAATGGCTTGTTTTTATTTATCTTTTAAAAAATGTGTTTATAACGAAGGACTTTGAAAAGTCAAAGTGTCTTGGATTTCTCTAATTCTAGGAGAGCCTGAAAATTAAATTAGTAAGAAAACTAATACCATCTATTTGTAGATTTATATTCTTTTCAAGGCACTTCACAGGCTAATTAAGACAATCAATTTTAAGAGAATCATTTACAATTTTAATTAACCTTTTTATCCTTAACTAAACAGTTGCTGACCCAATGTGTAACCTGGCAGAAAATTTAGAATAATCCTATTTATTATTTGCATTAGTCTGTTTTGTTTTGTTTTTAATTGTATCTAGTTTGAACTCTACATTTTAAGAATATCAGATTTGAACAGGGTGAAGCCCAAATAAGAAAATGGCACTGAGGGCCTATGACATAAAGTAAAAGCAATGGGTATTTTGTTTCTAAGTTTATAAACATTTGTGAATTATCCTGGAGGTCTAAAAGATTTAGGTAGACACTAACTTTTCCAGATTATGTGGTACAAATTATGCTAACAAAATTTATCAGCTAATTTGTCTTTTATTTTGACTAGATTTGGTTCACTGTATTACATTTTGAGCCAAAGCCAATCAGAATTTTAGAGCCAGCTGTAGAGGGAGATTTGATGAAGGAAAGTCCCCTGTGGCTGAGGTTGCTCTGAGGACACCTGACTGGGTGTCCATAAAGTAAGTTAGAGTTGGCACTTTTCCCCACAAGTCACAGGGCAACCACTTCCCACCTAAGAAGGCTTCCCTGTCCTGAGGAAACAGACATTTTGAGAAAAGCTAACCCATCGAGATACCATAGGATTCTGGTGACTTATCCAATGTCTGTGCTCTTGATATTTAAAACACATTAATAGGCAGTGTCAAAAAGAATAAATAGGGCCGGCCCGGTGGCCCAGTGGTTAAGTGTGCACGTTCTGCTTCAGCAGCCGGGGTTCACTGGTTTGGATCTCAGGTGTGGACATGGCACCGCTTCACAAGCCATGCTGTGGCAGGCATCCCACGTATAAAGTAGAGGAAGATGGGCATGGATGTTAGCTCAGGGCCAGTCTTCCTCAGCAAAAAGAGGAGGATTGGTGACAGATGTTACCTCAGGGCTAATCTTCCTCAAAATAAATAAATAAATAAATAGCAAGTTCTGATGAGTTCTGCTTCCAGCTTTGCCAGCTTCCTACAAGATTATGAGTATTAGTAAATTGTAGTATACTAATATAAAGTAGCATTAACCTATATATTTCAGAACTGAATTCTGTAAGATCATACATATGCACTGAGGTAAACCTGCAAAAAAAGATGGTAAAAATTGATTCCATTTATATAACAATTTATCGTTTACATCCGATTTTCTTTCATTTTATCTCCACGACCACAGGAACTATGGCAGATTTTTTTTTTTACCAATTTTACAGACAATATATAAACAAAGATGAAATGATGATAAAGGATTGGAAGCTAGGTCACAGTTCCTGCCTTGTGCTACTCCAACCATATTGATAATCATTTAAATCTGAACAAAGCAAAAAAAAAAAAGACAGAAAGAAAGTGGACTAAATACTTCACATTTGCAAATATGAACTCAAGATTTTAAAACAAATAGGTTCCTGACATTGGAAAACTTAACTTTGCTGAGATGTCAAGTAGAATAACCCAGGAATTCAGGGTGAGCTGGGTTATGCTAAAGAGGAACCTAACTAACCTGACCCAAATTTGAAACTCAAAAAGGCCTGTCCTCACTTAAACCTGACACAACTCAGTAAATATTCTTATCTCCATTTTAGAATTGGAGAAACTGAGATTGTATTTGCTAGTTTAAGGATTTCTTAAAGGGTCTCAGCCTGATGAATTACAAGAAGCTACTGTAGAGTTTTGAAGGAAAAAAACTTTATTGTATATAAACAATCTTCTCTTTAATTCAACATGAAAAAGTCAGAGTTATAGCACCCTGCCAAACACTATGAGGATAGATATAATAATATAATTTCTGATCTGGAAGGACTCAGATCTTAAGTATTCCAAAAGTTGCCAAATTTTCTTTTTGTTTTTGTTTTTGTTTTGAGGAAGATCAGCCCTGAGCTTACATCTGCCACCAATCCTCCTCTTTTTGCTGAGGAAGACTGGCCCTGAGCTAACATCCATGCCCATCTTCCTCTACTTTATATGTGGGACGCCTACCACAGCATGGCTCAACGAGTGGTGCCATGTCACACCCAGGATCTGAACTGGCAAACCCTAGGCCGCTGAAATGGAACATGCGAACTTACCCGGTGCACCACGGGGCTGACCCCAGGTTTGTTTTTTTTAACTATCAAAATTTTTGGCCTACATGGACACCACAGAGTGCATTGTATTAAGGGCCTTATCACAAGAAAATATACACTTTCCTTTATGCTTTTCAGATAAAAAATCACTTTCCTATTGTTACATTTGGAGAGCCCTGATATCTGAATCCTCAGATTAGGAAACAAAACCATCTAATCCATCTCCTTTGTTTTATATTTATAGGACAAGGAACTTGAATCCTTGTAAAATAATTTCATCAAAGTCACACAGCTATTACCACTGCCAACATCAGAACCCAGAACTGACGACACCTATGTGCTTTTTATGACTCTTAGACCAGGAGGTAAACAAATACAAATTTCCCCATTAGTCTGCTTCACGTGTTCTTGTATAATCCATGCAGGTGTCATGTACCTGGCCCGATGGCCCTCCTTCTCTCATAGCCTCACACTCCATAGCCTGCCTCTCAAAGACCTCTCTAACTCCTGACCACAGCTTACCCACATCTTTCATAACAAGTGGGTAGCCTAGTACTCACAGTGTGATCCAGGAATCAGCAGCATGAGCATCACCTGGGACTTTGCTGGAAATGCAAAATCTTGGCTCACCCCAGAGCTAAGACAGAAATCTACATTTTAACCAGATTTCTGGGTATTTCATATGTACATAAAAGTAAGAGAAATGCTGCACTAGAGAACATGGAGAAAGAACTTCTAGTTTCAGATAACCTCTCAGTGTTAGTATTACCAAGATTTTGTTTCTGATTAGCAAGGTCAAAGGAATGAAGTAGGCCATAAAGGTGCCTGGGTCAGTGAATAGCTAGAGTTTTTTTTCTTCCTTTTTTTTTATGATTTTTTTTTGGGGGGGGAAGATTAGCCCTGAGCTAACATCTGCTGCCAATCCTCCTCTTTTTTGCTGAGGAAGACTGGCCCTGAGCTAACATCTGTGCCCATCTTCCTCTACTTTATATGTGGGAGGCCTACCACAGCATGGCTTGCCAAGCGGTGCCATGTCCGCACCTGGGATCTGGGCCGCTGAATCCCAGGCCACTCAATCGGAACATGAGAACTTAACGGCTGTACCACCAGGCTGGCCCCCTGGTTTTCTAACAAGATAGATATTCATAAAATAATGGTCTTATTCCCAAGAACTGACCAATGAGGTTTTTCTGAGGCAAAAGATTAAAGGCTCTCAGATCAAGATATGAAGACAATAGAAAAAAACTAAACATTTAAAGCCTCTGTAAATTACAATGTCAGTTTTTGCAAAAATGGATAGTTACCTGGAGAGCAGCAGCAAAAAAACAAAAAAAGACTAGCAATGTCATCTCTAACACTGGCGTTTCCAATAGGAAATTTAAAATAAGAAAAAGGCTTTTTCCTCTTGTGGAAAAACAGCAGCAGAAAAGTATTCTTGGATTGGATTTTCAAAAAGCCATCAAGTGACCCACAAGAGTTCTCAAAAACATTTAAAGAAGCCCGCTGAAAAGTTTCTTTGCCTTATGATTGTCATTAAAATAAGGCAAAACGTGAGAACATAGAATATGCAGTATGGTACTGAAGCCAGGTACCTGAGGGTTACTGGAAATATTCAATAAGATTACCTTTCAACCTTGTTCCCAACACAGACATAAATGAAAAGAAGTTAATCTTGTCAATTTGCTGTTTTCTTGTTTAAACTGAGGGGTGACTCAAGGCCACAAGGATTGATGAGCTTTTACAGAAGAAAAAAATGCCTTCAAGGAAGTTAGATCCCCAGATAACCAGCCCCTAGTTGCCTTTGACACCCAGAAGTCACATTGCCCAAGGGCTTCTTTGAGTGATAGAAACACAGATTACCCCTTTGTTTCTCTGAAACTCCTGCCAAGTCCCTTAGCTCTAAAAAATCTCCTGCTTTCTTCTCTTGTGAAGGCAGATTTGAGAAAACCTATCCTCCTGCCTTCTCATTTTGTCCAATTCAAATAAACCTTTCTCCATCTCCAAGCACAGATGTCTCACTGTTTGACTTACTGTGCACTGGGCACATGAACTCGAGATTGAGAGGTTTGGTATCAGGATTACCTCATTTTCTATACTAAATATAGTATATAATATATATATTTTTTAT